ACTACATCTTGCAGCAAAAAATTCTGCAGTTTCATTGTCTTAATGACGATGACATCCTGGCCTCTCCCACCAGGTGTCACTGCAAAGTCACAGAAGAGGATCTGTTGGTGATAACGTAAGACGCAGGCAGAATGAAGATTAATAAGGCATAGGAATCATCGCTGAAAAGGAGTCTTTTTTCACTCCTCCTCTTGCTCCCTAGCCAAAAATAAAGCATAGCAACACTGCTGTGCATTAAGCTCAATAGCGCAGAGTATCAATTTTAAATGATGGGTACGTATAGGTCGTATTGCATAAGAGTTTTAAACGCGTGCCTTGTGAGCTGGGGCTGGTGCTTGGCTGCCAGATGTGGTTCCCTCTAATGTGAGGATGAGGAGACATCCAGAGGAGACATCACAGCTGTGGTGTCAGGACTAAGTCTGGCACAGGGATGCTGACTTTGAGATGATCTTCAGAGACTTGCAGGACAAACCCTCCTGATAGCTCTGACAGTGACATGAGACGAGGGGGTAACTTATGTGCAATCCTTCCTTTTGCAGCCAAAGTCCCTAAAACCCAAAAATGTGTCCCGCAGACCAAGTTGCAAAAGAGCTTCTGAGGGACTACTCTTACATCTGAGGACGCATGGACGCATGCAGCAAAACACAAGGAAACCCCTCAGTTTCATGCTCTATGGATGGGATAGGCCCACCTATAGGTGAAAATCCTTCCTTCCCCTCCCACAGGTGACAGGAGCATACACCACCACGTTGCATCCTGCTCCCCCATGATTTCCAAGCACGCACTTAGCAGCAGAGTATAACCCCAGAAGTCACCTATCTCTACCTGTAAACACAGACTTGCTCAAAGGAGGTCGCACCAGGACTTCACAGCAGTGCAGCCCAGGAAACGTCCCTGTGCTGCTCCGCAGAGCCACATAGGGGGACCCTGAATGACCCTGCTGGGGTGTCCCTGGTCTGGCAGCAGCATGCCAGCACGGAGGGGGGTCCTCCTACCCCATTCCCCAGAATTCAGCATCACACAGTCCCAAACTCAGTGAGGTTCCAAACGGCAACCCAGGGACACTACAACCTTCTCTTGGTCACTCAGCAGGATCGCACAGGCGACCTCTGGCAGAGCCCCGCGCTGCCGCCCTTCCTCACACCATCGGAGCAGCCCCTCCTAGTGCCTGGTGGCAAATGAAGATACTTTAATTACACCACGACGGAATTAATTTCTGTTGAAGAGTACTGTAACAAAGTGCGTGAATGAAATGAATTTTACCTGCACTTCACTTGTTAAAAGGTACATTATGTTTAACAAAGTACCACATATATAAAGAACATCTAAATACTCTTTTCCTGTTGTGCTATACCACCACTTGTTTTAAAATTATCTTGAAGCCTCACTGTTGCTAAAACCTAATCTCAAACAAACAACGATCATGCAGCAAACTGAAATATAAACCACACTTTGCTGGTGCTATGCATTTAAATGCTTAGCTAGTTTCAGCTGCAGAACTTTAAACTCTCTTTTATAGGACATTACTCCATTTTAGTATAAGCATCTATCAGGCACAGCTCTGAAAATGTTAAGTCAGACTATGAAAACATTGTCAATGCTTATTTTAGTAATAAACCCCATGTTTAATCTATGCTTTCATGTTACAGTAATCTATGTATCAATCTGTAACCTTCCAGCTAAGTAGATTAAGCTCTGATTGATTTGAAATGTTTTTCGCTATATTATCAAAAGTCTGCAGATCAGCATAAATACCTCGAAGAAATTTTTTCTCCTTTGGCAGATTTACAAAAGCAGAGCTTAACTTGAATTGAAATGAACTTCTGCATTTTTCCAGGGCAAAAAGCCTGTCAAATCTACTCTAGATCTGCTCTGCTTCCGGACTTAGTAAAAACCTGTGATTAATAGTACAGTGCATCTATTCTGTCATGACAAAAGCAATCACGTTATGAAGAAAAGTGTTCCCTCTGGGTCTACCATTCATACGAAGTGTCAGGAGCTACCCCGAACGCTGGCACTGCTGGGACTGCCATCTGCATAGAGCGCTGTGCAAACAGCTCTTGGAAGGGGGAGGGGGGGATTTTTGGTGATGCGCTCTTGCTGATTACAATAAAAGACCTTAAAATTGGCTTCCTCAAATAGAAAACACCAAGGGGACTTGGGGGGTTTTGGGGGTTTTTTTTGCGCTGTGTTTAGGGAAAGTGAGGAGTGGGTTGTGAGCTGTCAGAGTAACCTGGTGGGCGCTGCGGGGAGGCTCTGCCGCCGGAGGTGGTGAACTTCAGCAACAAAAAGAGCACGCAAGGGAAGAGGGGTGCACTGAACTCCCGGTGATCCCGTTTCAGCGTTTCTCACAGCTCCTCTGCAGACTATCTGCTGCTGATGGCTGCACAGATGGAATGAGATTTCTACATATGCTCAGCATCCATCCTGGTAGCTCACTGAGATGGCGACAGTGCAAACAAACGCAGGCTTGAGCATCCCACCCAGCTCCGTTAGGGAGGTGGGGAAGAAGACACGTCTACAAACGTCAGTGGAAATGGGGGAAGAGTAAAAAAAGCCCTGAGGTGGTAGATTTCAATCTTTGCCCAGATTTCAAGCAATTCCAGTCAGGTAAGTTTGGATTTTAAATGTTGTTCCTGTTTATCCCACCGAAGAGGAGGCACCCAAGAGAAGGAGAGAATTTGGAAAAATAAAGGCACTGGTAACAGGGTGTTGGCAGAGCATCCCAGCTATTGCTAGGGTAAAACCTCAGCCTGGCTGACAATGATGCCTGAATTCCCCTGGACTCTGGTGGGGAGGTGTCATCCATCTCTCAGTGGTCCTTACCCATTTTGCACCACGCAATACCCAATTTCTTCTGTGATCCCACTCCATCCATCCATGCACACAGAGAGCTGACATCTAAACACTGCAAACCCATCTGATCCCATGGCCCCACAGCTTGTTCAAGCATCTGCCATGAATCCTCAGTCCTGACTGTGGTCCTGGGTTCACCTCCGTGAGGACTTCACAACTGATGCAGTGCAAGAGAAGAAGCTCAGCTCACACAGTCCAGCTCTGGATTTGATTTTGGATTCTGCACCCCATCACTTGGGAACGTTTATATCTCAGGGTTTTCTGTGGGTCATTCTATGCCTTGCTTGTGAAGTAAGAGAAGTTTTTATTTCAATATAAACCATACTTGGACACAAAGTGACATTTCCAAAGGGATGCTATATCCTAATTCTGCAAAACATACTCCCAGGGAATAGGTTCAGTGGTCCTCCTCTGTACATGCTCCTCAGAGAGGTTACAGAACCTGGCTTGATATAACCAGACTGTATTTGATGATACATTCACTTCTTATCCCAGTACATTAGCATAAAGTTAACAAGAAAGTTCATTATAAAGGACAAACCTGCAAGTCAATGTCAGCCAAGAAATTGCCTGAGCAACCCCGTAATTGAATAAAAATATGTGTCAGCAAAACAAGTGTCATCACGGGCTTGCTGGCGTGCTTGGAGTTCACCAGCTTGACAAACTTCTCTCAGCATGGTGCTGTGTGCAAGACTCTACAAGAAGCCCTTATGTACTAAATGATGTTTATCAGCAAAATATGGGTACTAATATGCACATTTGACCTCGAGAGTCAAACAGGCCTGCCCACAACTTCAGCAATGAATTAATAAATAAATGAAAATTAAAGCAAATGAGCATTTTGTAACTTCTTAGCCACTCCTCTGGTTACAAAGTGCTTCACAGGGAGGACATTCACTTGCAAATATTCTGTGGTACAGTGTAAACACACATTTAAATACCAGAAGTCATTTAAACCAGTACCAGATTTTTCCACCACTGATGAGTTTGTACACTGATTTATGGGACCAGCTTCTCTGGGATTGGCAAACAAAATAATTTATTTTACTTCCCTCATTTTTGAGTCCAACGGCCCCAGCTTAGCTGTGATACAAAATAATTTAAGGAGTGATTCACATTTTTACACCAACTAACTAATGGTGAATGGCATTTTGCAACCTATTCTGTTCCAGTAAGCCTCAAGGAAACTGGGAGCAGCCAACAGGGTGCAGTTCATAGATGTATCTGGGCACTTCTTTCTGTAGAGGCAAGAAAAGCTCAGGACTGCGCTGGGACCTGCTGGAGGAGGTGTGACTTTAGAGGGAAACTGTCACAGGGGAGAGATGCTGCCAGGTCCCAAAACCAGGATCCCCATGAAAAGGAACTGCTGGCAGCATTAGCCAGCAACAGAGGGATGCATGCTGCGTTCATGTTATGTGTATATATATATGCTATACATATATTTTAATTTTAAATCTGATAAAATATTAGCTTAAAAGCCTATAACATCCCCCAAAAGAACTGGGCATGACCAGGATCCTTTCCTAAACTAGTTAGCAGGTGGGATTTTGCAAGCATCTGCTCACAGACACCTCAATGGACATTTGCCAGCTGAAATGACCCAAGTAAAGCAATGCTCCAGTGATGACCCTCTACCCCATCAGGCCCATTTTCAAGGGAAAGAAGCCAATTACTGTGAGGACCTGTCTGCTTTTCGAAAATTTTTAGGTAGCAAGATCTGGGCAGCTTTCAGGGCCCACCTAGTGTCAGGGAAAACAACCAATCACGTAAAATTGTTTCCTCGCTTTTTCCCTTAAAATAAACCCCCTTTCCCTCCCCATTTCTGCCTTTTTCTGTGATTTGAAAACTGGCACGTCTGTGAGTGATTGCAGGTGCCACTAAATAATGAAGCAGCTCTGTTCATTAAAGCTTGGTGATTTATTACCTTTGGACCAAGGGAAAGAAAAACAGCCTGAAAAGAGACTTCTTACATCATTTCACATTATTTGCAGTCCAGCACTTCAGACAACTGTTAAAACAGCAGATTTTCAGCTCCGTGGTCCACCAGTCCCCAGAAATGCAATGCTGAACATCTAATCCCAGCCAGTTCTGTAAATCTAGAGTGTAACTTATAACTAACTGCTGCCCTAAATGTCGTGTCCTACCTTCGTACAGCCAGTCGCTCAGCCCATTGAAAATAACACCTTCCTTTCCTGTGGAGACCACTCGGATGGCTTGTTTCCCCACATGGGCACAGTAATAGATGTTATTCTCAAAGATAAATATCTGATTTGAAGGGAAAAAGAAAAAGAGAACAGCATTAAGCAGTGGCTCCATTATAAAATGTTGCATTTTGCTTTTACAATAATTGGCAGTACAAATCATGTATCACATTTTTATAGCGTCTTTTGTCAAAAATGGATTTCCACAGCTTGCTTCCAATGCCATCAACTAATAGAAAGATGCTAATTTACAACAAACTGAAGCTTTGGTCCTTCAATACAAGCTTTATTTTTCTCCCTCCTGTCTTCATTTCAGAAATTGAGCAGTGCAGTTAGAAGGCATGAAATGAAGGATGCCATCACTCAGAATTTTGAAAAAGTGGCCCAGGACACAGTAGCAGTTTGCAGAGCTGATGTCGATGCTATGTGGTGACTGAACTGGCTACTGGAAATGGCTTATTGCGTGTTCCCAGCTGCTCCCACTTCCTTAAAACACAGCTGGCAACTTATTAAAAAAATCTGAACCCCGTTTTTAATGCAGATCCAACATGATAACATGTGATATCAAATAGGGGTCAGCCTATGTGACGGCGTCACGTCAGCCAACGCGGCATGAGTGTTTCAGCTGGGGAGCACATGCTCCAAGGACCCAAAGGGGTGTGCTAGACCTCCCGCCCTGCCCCGGTCCCCAGGTCACCCTCCTACAGGAACCAGGGTGGATGGGACGAAGGCACCCGTGGGGTCTCAACTCCCTGCCAGTATGGATGCAGCTGCCATAACCCCCAGACCGTCTTTGGAAATGTCTCCCCTCCTGTTGCAAAAATCTAGCAGATTCAGGTTGCTGAAAGATTCCATGAGCAAAACATCATGGGACCTCACAGCTCCTCGGGAGGGCAAGGGCAGGGCCACGCCAAGGATTGCCATTGGGTCCCTAAGGAAAGGAGTGCTCACACAGCTGGTCCTGTCTGTGGGAAAGCAATTCCAGCCTGAAGAAGAATTTCTGACTATAAAATTCTTATCAATCATGAAAATTTCAATCTGAGATTGTCAGGAAAGGAACCTAACACAAAACTCTCAAATATGCCTCCTGTTTGTTTTTTTTTTAAAGCTGATTTCACGCGAGTCATTAGATTTACTGCTATGAGAATGCTTTTGGGAATCAGGCTGTTTATTTAGGTGTTTAAGTGCTGATCAGTGAGCAAAATTTTAGCCAACCATTTAAATAATATCGATCCATGTCATCGGTCTTTATCATCTAGTTAAATAATGCATTTTTCTGTGTTTTGCTGTGGTCGATGACGCAGATCTTGTCCCCTCCTCACCCCAGAGTGAACTTCATCCTGCTTAAATAGCACTCCCGGTTTTCAACTCCATTCAGACTGCAAAGATGTACTGAACAGGGTATCAGGAAGCCATTTAGACTGAAAGACCAACTGTTAATATAATTTAGCAGACATTTATGGATGGGTTTTTATACACTTGAAGATACTGGAACAAATATTAGGTATCTTTACCATGATTCTAGAATGCAATTTCTCAAGTTACACTCATGAAAACATAGAATTGGGAAAAATACTTGCTTTCAGCTTCTGTTCCACATCCTATTACGGTATGTGTTTCACCTAAAGATGAGCTGGAAAGATTCCAGAAGGAAGTATAGCTCCTAATTTAATTTTGGCAGCAGTTATAGCGAGTTTGCCTAAAGGTAAGTAGTACGACGGAAACTGTAGCTTGATTTTATTCCTTTTAGCCTGCATGGGTTTTTAAACTGAGAAAAGCTGCATCCAATTAATATTTTTTGAAAGTAAAAAATATGTTGTGGAATATACTGAATACTCTTTCCTACTTTGATTTTTAGTAAGCAGAGGAGCCAGATGAGGGATGCCAAGTAAATACTTTTATGTGTTAGCTCGTCTGCATATGGGAGGGTTATTGAAGCTTAAATGTATGTAAAGGCCAACAGCACCCTGGCTTGTATCAGGAATAGTGTGGCCAGGAGGAGCAGGGAAGTCATCCTTCCCCTGTACTCCGCACTGGTGAGGCCACATCTCAAATACTGCGTTCAGTGTTGGGGCCCTCACTCCAAGAAGGACATGGAGGGGCTGGAGCGTGTCCAGAGAAGGGCAACAAAGCTGGTGAGGGGTCTGGAGCCCAAGGCTGATGCAAAGTGGCTGGGGGCACTGGGGTTGTTCAGCCTGGAGAAGAGGAGGCTGAGGGGAGACCTTATCGCCCTCTACAACTGCCTGACAGGAGGGAGGAGCTGGAGGGGGGGGAGTGTCAGTCTCTGCTCCCAAGTAACAAGCAAATAGGACGACGAGAAATGGCCTCAAGTTGCACCAGGGGAGGTTTAGGTTGGATATTAGGAAAAATTTCTTCATCAAAAGGGTTGTCAAGCATTGGAAGGGGCTGCCCAGGGAAGTGGTCAGGTCCCCATCCCTGGAGGTATTTGAAAGATGTGTAGATGAGGTGCTTAGGGACATGGGCTAGTGGTGGACTTGGCAGCACTGGGTTAATGGTTGGACTCAATGATCTTAAGGGTCTTTTCCAACCTAAATGATTCTTTGAGTCTGTGATAATTCAGGAATAATAAGAAGAATGAGATATTTTGGCCCAACCAAATCTAAATCTCTGTGTCCAAGAGTTAAACGTGCTGGGGGTGCTTGGGTGGGGGCTCTTCTGTGACAGGCACATACATGGAGTTATTCAAGCAGTGCAACCCTTCCCTTGCCCAGCTTCTCCCAGCAAAATAAGGTTTTGCAATATTTTGTACTGTATTAAATTTTAAATGAATTTACAGGAAAAATAAAAAAGGTGGACTGACAACCTGTTCCTGCCCTTTACTGTGTAAAGCATTGCAATGTTTTCTGTCTTCACTGTTTTGTCTTTCAAAGCTTCATTGCGCTAATCAGTCCACACGAGGAATCAGGTAGCTGCAATGGAAAACTAATATAGTGCTCTGACTTCAAACTGTCTCCCATATAATTCAGAGCCAAAATGCACCACCTCATAGAGAATTTAAAATTATCCTCCTAACTACAGTGCCTTGTACCCTAAAAACATCAACCATAATCAAGATAAAAGATAACTGAAGCAGCACAAGGAAGATTTCTGTGTAATGTATCTTATAAATTAAGAAAAAGCTTTTGAACTCTGTTATTCATCAAAAAGAAATGTCTTTGGATTACTTCACGTCTTGGGTTAGAAAGATATTAGATGATATTATGAAATACCTATATATAATATTTTTTACTGGTTTGGTTTTATGACATCAAAGCAGTGCTTTCTATCAAATGATCAAAAACCTTTGAGCTAATTAGAGGATAAGAAATTTTTGTAAAGAAAAATAATAAAAAATGTAGAGACATCACTTTTGCATTTTTTTATGCTTTCTTTACATCACAGTTCTAGACTAACGTGAAATGATAATGGAAAGGGTCAAGCTCCATTTTATCTCTCTCTCTGTACCCCTAACAAAGACCAGACCCAAAATTTCTTGTGTCTTCTTTTTTGATGTGCATATTTGAGCAAGACTGTACCCATGACATTCTTGCAGTGTACATGCCTTTTATCATGGACAGCACATAAAGTCCAGCACTGAGCACAACTGGCGGCATGGAAAATAAACCTGTGATATGTCAGGAAAATATCCCCACATTGAATACTGTGCTCATTTTCATCATGGCGCATTCAATGCAGAGCAAAGAGAAGATATTCTCAAGGAAGTAAGAAGAATGGAAACATCCCTACATAGACTGAAGAAACTGAAGTTGCTAACTCTACAGCATGAACAAGGAAGACATAAGCCCTACAAGAGAATGGAAGGAAACAGAGAAGAGGAAAAGGATGCTTTCACCCTTTAATTTTTTCAAAGCCACAGTGAAACTAATGAAATCAAGAGGAAAGCTGTTTAAAAGTGGATAAAAATATTCTTCCCACTGAAATCAGAATTAATGCATGGGACTCCTTGCCACCGGACGCAACGGAAGATAAGAACTTCACTCTCTTCCTGCTGGACGTTGTAATAGGGTTCAAACGAAGAAATACTTCTTAACAAAGATAACTGGAATGTCCTGGGGGACTGAGATAAAGATTTTTATTTTTTTTTTTAAAGAATTCACTTACTCCCAGGGTAACAAAAATCAATGGGGATTTTGCTGTTGGCTTTGTGTGGCTCAGGTTGACACCTGGAACTTTCAGCATAACACAAAACTCCTTTGGCCTCAGGTACCAACACACCACTAACTCATGTGCGCTGGGAACAAATCTCTGCCTGTTTGCAACACGGTTTGAAGCAATCAGTTCGGATACATTCGATATCCTTGTGTAAGACAACTAATATTGGAGAAAAAATACTAGACTGGTTGGACCACAAGCTTGAGACAGGAGAACTTTAAGTCAAAGATTAAGTATTTATTCAGTAAGATAAATTTATCCAGTAAGATAAATGTTTAAACTAAAACCAAAATAAACTTAATTCACTTAAAACATACAAGAGCCTTAATAACACTGACTGATTTAAAGAGGATTCATTTAAAATGTTTTTGCATCTGCTTAAAGGCTTCTGAAGTAATGTGCTCTATCAAACTGACCCAACGTGGCATTAAATAAATAATTATGCTGCAGTAATTAAAATTGTTATTTTTGAATGGACCAACTTATGGACCTTTTCAGGAATCTAACGAAAATAACCTCTTTAAGACCACTGCAAGAGTCACAGTGACCAACTATTTTGAGCAGATGAATAATAACTGCTTTTACAGTTGTTCAACCCACCTTCTTTCCAGCCAAAGAGGTGAATGAGTTCCAATTTCTTCACAGACCAAGAGAAAATAAATTCATATGAATAAATCTTTTTACTGATTCCATTTGCTTTCCGACTGTAAGGTGGCATTCTAAGTTTATGTTCTTTTTACACTATCATTTCTAACGTGTATAACTTGTCAACTGAATGAGCAACATCACCCAAATTTAGCATCTCCAAGTAAAAAGTTAATGCCTGGATGCTTATTACTTTAATTATTAGCACATTGTAGAAGTGTGAATGTTTCCTACACATTAGAAGGC